GGGCACTGTCCCTCCTGGGTGACCGATGGCAGCCCTGCCTCCCGGCCACTCCCTGCTTGCAGCTCGGCCCTGCTGCCCCAGCCACCCCCCTGGTGGCCCCTGCTGCCCTGTGACCCGTCCCCACGTCCCCCTCCCGGCGCTCACAGCTCGCTCTCCCCCAGGGCACCGACTCGGAGTCGGAGGACGCGCCCCCCCAGCACTCCTTCGTCAACCACTACCTGAGCGACCCCACCTACTACAACTCGTGGAAGCGGCAGGCCCCGGGGGGGCGGGCGGCCCCGCACAGGTACGAGGCCGTGGCAGGCGGCGAGGGCCCACCCCTGCACACTGTGGTCACCACGCAGAGCGCCGTGTTCGCGCCCGCGGGCCCCGGCGCCCGGACTCCGCTCACCGGCTTCTCCTCCTTCGTGTGACGGCCTCGCCCAGCACCGCGGGGACCCCGGAGTCTGTTCCTAAGACAATCAGCTCCAGGAACTGAGCTCACGCCTGCGTTTGAAAGGAGCCTGAGAGGCGACGTCCTGCCTGCTCCGAGTGACACTAGGTTCCCATTGGGACGGTTTCCAGTGGCTTTTTGTAACGTGGCTGCAGGAGGGGATCCTTTGTTTCTCTTTTCTTTTTACGAGAAGGTGTGTTTCTCTGGTGCAATGCTGGGCACCCGGCCTCGAGGGCCCAGGCTGGGCGGCTCCATCTGGCACCCACCCCGGAGGCCGGAGGGGGAGGAGCGGGGTCAGCGAGGCCGCCTGCCCCCAGACCCTCGGCCTCCTCTCTACCTCCCGGCCTCCCCGCACAACCAGGGCTCCCCTGCCCCACCCGCGCGGGGCAGCCCCCTGGGGTTTGCAGGAAGGTCTGGCCGGCTCCGCGCTCCTGCCCCGGCTGCCCCGTCGGGCCCTGAGATGCTCCCGCTCGGCAGTTCCGGTCGGGGGGCCAGCTTGACCGCTCCCGCCGGGCAGGAGACTCCGAGGTGCTGTCCTCTGGCTCGTGATGGCTCGGCAGCCACACCTGTGTCATCCCAGTGGCGAAACACGGGCCCTTTCCTTCCTTCCTTCCTTTAAACTGGACAGAGCGGGAGCAGGAAATCACCCCCCACTGGACCCCCCCCGGAGCCGGCTCCTCCGTGAACACAGCACACGGCCACCGCCCACCCGAGGGAGACAGCGCTGCAGAACCGCTGTGGGAGAGGTGCATTGTCAGCCAGAGTATTTTTTAAATCTTTTTACCTTTTTTTAAAATATGTCACATGAAATGAATGAGTCTGCTGTCTCCAGGTGCCTTTTATTAATTGTTTAGCTTTGTACATGGGGCGGATGGGAAGCGACAGTGTCTCCAAATAAAGCAAAGGCTCTGAGGAAACGGGGTTCTGATCGCCTCGTGCATGTCAGCCCCTCAACCCTGACCACACACAGCAGCCCCGACCCGACCGTGCCCACCAGGCCTCCGTGCCCACCAGGCCTCCGTGCCCACCAGGCCCTCCTTGCACACCAGGCCCTCCGTGCCCACCAGGCCTCCGTGCCCACCAGGCCCTCCTTGCACACCAGGCCTCCGTGCACACCAGGCCCTCCTTGCCCACCAGGCCTCCGTGCACACGGCCCGGTCCTTCCTTTGGGCACCGCCTCTGCCTGGCGCAGGCCCTGCCCGCTGCTTCATGACCCGGTGCGGCCGCTGTCCCTTCCCCTGACCCCAGTCCAGCTTTTCAGCTTTAACAGGTTTTCTGGAAACATTTTTTTCTGTTGTTAGTAGTTTTGCTTTAGACTTTTAGCTACATGAAAATAGCACAAACTGCTCGGAAACCTGAGTCAACCAAGCTGTGCATCCAGCCCTCGTCACATCACAGAGACAGGTGGGAGGCAGCTGAGGCCCAGGTGCTCAGCCCCCGGGCGGAGGGCGGAGGCAGGGCTGGGTCGCGGAGGGCCCCCCACCCCCTCCCCGGTCGGAGTGCGGCACANAGGCGGAGGCAGGACTGGGTCGCAGAGGCCCCCCATCCCCTCCCCGGTCGGAGTGCAGCACAGGACACCCCGGGAGCAGGGATGCGGGGGGCGGGGGGCAGACCCATGCCCTGCAGAGTGTGTGCCCCCCTTTCTCGTCGGACCCTCCAGGGGCGGGCCTGGCCCTCTGCTGTCAGAGCTGCTGCAAGTCCGGGACCCAGGAGAGTGTTGTGTTGGGGAAAAGCCCGTTTTTCCGAATGTAGCAGCTCTGGGAAGTTTCCTTTCTCTGGAGCCCCCCCCCCACCCGCTGCTCCCTGTTTGTCTGAGTGGAGGGGGAATATTCTAGACCAAAGCGCCCAGACACTGCCCAAAGCCAGTTCTTCGTGAGAATTGCGCCTGCAGCTCACTGGACGGAACCCCCCTCGGGGCCGAGCCCCTCCTTTCTCCGGCCCCACGGCAGCGACAGGGACAGGAAGCCACGGGGCAGCAGCCTGGACGTCGCGTAAGACACGCGACGCTGGAGCTGGACAGACGCTGCCTCCTGTGTGCTTCGCGCCCGGAGCCACGCGGACTTTGCTTGAAGGGTGGGAGGAGCGTGGGGACGTTAGGACCAGACGACGGGTCTGAGGTGTGCTTTTTGCTTTTGGGCTTTGTGACGACAACATGAATCCTTTTCCAGGCTCGTTCTATTTCCTGTGTTTTCTCTGCTTTGGGTAAATTTTTTGTGTGGGATTCTCTGTGCAAGGCTGTGCCGGCGCCGTGGCTGCTGACGGCCTGTCAGCACCTGCGCCCGGCGTCCCTCAGGGCTCTGGCCCGTGGGGTCATCTATACCGAAGGATCAGAGCCGTGTCTCTGGTTAGATGTCGCCTCCCCGAGGAACCGGCATCGAGAAGCGCCCACTCCTAACCTCTTGTCTTTAGGGAAGAAAAAAGTCACGCCAGGAAAATGGATGTTGGGTCTTAGTCTCAGCTCTGATGAGAGCCCAGCAGCGCTTCTGTGGCCAGGGCAGATGAGACGGGCCCTCCTCCTGCAGGACGTCGCTCGGGGGCCACCCTCAAGAGGAACAGCAGCCGAGTCCCGGCCCAGACGCCCTCAGATTGGTCACTGACGACGGCGCCAACAGCCAGGCTTCCCGTGCGAGGAGGCGGGTGCAGCGACACAGCCGGAGGGGCCAGGGTGGCTCTGCAGGACTCCCCTGTGCTCAGGGCTCCCCCAGTCTCCACACAGGCGTAGGGCTGGCTCAGGGCCACCTCTGTGCCCGGCGGGCGTGAAGCACATCCACTTGGCCTCCAGGGCCTTCTTCTGAATGAATGGGCCTCGGACTCAGCTGAGGAAGCCCTGAGGGCGGCCACGTGGGACCCTCCCCACCCGGCAGCGTGGGAGGGGACCTGGTGGAGGGCTGTCCGCAGTGAGCTCCGCCCGGAGGCTGCCCTCACTCTGTGAACCCGGGGATGCTGTGCTTTCCTTGGCCACGCCCCGGCCACGCCCGGCCACGCCTGACCACACGCGGTGCCCACGTAGATTTTGGGTTTCTAGTTCTGGGCACGCAGTGGAGTTGTCCTCCCAGTGAGCCCTCGGGGCGTGTCCAGTGTGGCTCCAGTTCAGCATCCCCGCCACGTGCAGCAGCCCACAGGCAGGAGCAACACAAGTCTGTGGGCTGCGCTGGGCTGCAGGGCTCCCTCGTGTCCCCACATCTGTCCTCGCAGCGTCACCTCCCACCTCCGGGTCAACCGAGGGCCCAGGTCAGCCCTGAGCTTCCCTGGCAGTGTTTCTGGAATCCGGCAGAAAACCAAAAACAAATGAAACCCAATGTGTAGGAAGACCGAGAGGCGCCACGGGCATGATTTTTAATAAAAATCTCNGCCTCCCCGAGGAACCGGCATCGAGAAGCGCCCACTCCTAACCTCTTGTCTTTAGGGAAGAAAAAAGTCACGCCAGGAAAATGGATGTTGGGTCTTAGTCTCAGCTCTGATGAGAGCCCAGCAGCGCTTCTGTGGCCAGGGCAGATGAGACGGGCCCTCCTCCTGCAGGACGTCGCTCGGGGGCCACCCTCAAGAGGAACAGCAGCCGAGTCCCGGCCCAGACGCCCTCAGATTGGTCACTGACGACGGCGCCAACAGCCAGGCTTCCCGTGCGAGGAGGCGGGTGCAGCGACACAGCCGGAGGGGCCAGGGTGGCTCTGCAGGACTCCCCTGTGCTCAGGGCTCCCCCAGTCTCCACACAGGCGTAGGGCTGGCTCAGGGCCACCTCTGTGCCCGGCGGGCGTGAAGCACATCCACTTGGCCTCCAGGGCCTTCTTCTGAATGAATGGGCCTCGGACTCAGCTGAGGAAGCCCTGAGGGCGGCCACGTGGGACCCTCCCCACCCGGCAGCGTGGGAGGGGACCTGGTGGAGGGCTGTCCGCAGTGAGCTCCGCCCGGAGGCTGCCCTCACTCTGTGAACCCGGGGATGCTGTGCTTTCCTTGGCCACGCCCCGGCCACGCCCGGCCACGCCTGACCACACGCGGTGCCCACGTAGATTTTGGGTTTCTAGTTCTGGGCACGCAGTGGAGTTGTCCTCCCGGTGAGCCCTCGGGGCGTGTCCAGTGTGGCTCCAGTTCAGCATCCCCGCCACGTGCAGCAGCCCACAGGCAGGAGCAACACAAGTCTGTGGGCTGCGCTGGGCTGCGGGGCTCCCTCGTGTCCCCACATCTGTCCTCGCAGCGTCACCTCCCACCTCCGGGTCAACCGAGGGCCCAGGTCAGCCCTGAGCTTCCCTGGCAGTGTTTCTGGAATCCGGCAGAAAACCAAAAACAAATGAAACCCAATGTGTAGGAAGACCGAGAGGCGCCACGGGCATGATTTTTAATAAAAATCTCAGTTTGTTTCTTGTGTGCTTGTGGTTTTCAACAGTGTTCATGACACAACTCCTGGATCCCAGGCCAGGAACAGGACCCCCCGCTGTCCGAGCCCCCCGCTGGCCAGGCCCCCCGCTGGCCCGTCCCAGCCCCGCCCCTGCAGAAAGCAGGGTGCACGGACTGAGGGCTGGGGCTCTCCAGGGACAGACGCCCAGGCAGCCAGCCAGGTGGCCTGAGCAGGCGGAGGAGCCTGAGTGGACGGCACCTTTCTCAGCACCACCCTCATGCCCCCCAGGGGTCTCCCAGGTGCCCTCCCCTGACTTGGCCTCTGCAGGGTGGGGGGAGTGCCGGGCAGGGCAGGTCTGCCTTCCCTCTTTTTTTTAATATATATCTTTATTGATCTCAGAGAGAGGAAAGGAGAGGGGGAGAGAGAGAGAGAAACATCAATGATGAGAGTCATTGATCAAGCCCACAACCCGGGCCTGTGCCCTGACCGGGAATCGAACCCTGATCGCCTGGATCCTAGGTTGACGCTCAACCGCTGAGCCCCGCCCGGCCGGCCGCCTTCCCCCTTAAGACCCTCCTCCCTGCGGGTCCTCCGAGTGAGAGGGCTGGACCTGGGGACAGGGAGGTGCAGCGGGCGCCAGGCCCCCCGGAAGGGGCGGCCTGGCCCCGTCCTCAGACCCGGCCGGCCTCCCTGGTTCTCAGCCGCGGTGCGTGTCAGAATCACGGGCAGTGTTTCCGCCGGGTGCCCAGGCCGCACCCACACCGGTCAAGTCAGACTCTGGGCGCTGGGCCCAGGCTCCCGAGTGACTCGTGTGCCACCCAGGAGGCGGCGCAGGCGGTGGGCAGCTGGTGGAAGCAAAGGGGCCTGCGGTGGTGACTGCCCCCTGCGCCACGAGCCATTGCCGCCGCCCGACCAGAGGCGAGAACACCTGCTCCGTCTCCCCGTAAACGGAGGCGTAAGCCTGCACGTCCCCGGAAGCGCCACCCAGCGCCCAGCTGCCTGGGAGAGAGCGCGTCGGCGACTGCAGCTCCGCCGGGCGGGCTCTCCCACCGGCCGCTCGGCACCCGCCCCAGGGTGAGGGACCCAGGGTGAGGCTCGGCCGGGTGCTGTCTGGAGGTGAGGACGCGCCCCGGGAGCCGAAGCCAGGTGCTCGGGGGGCGGCTGGCGAGGGGCAGATCTGGGGTCCAAACCGAGGAGCCGGGGGCTGCAACCCTGGCCGGGGACCACCCCACCAGACGGCCCCCCAGGAGGCGCCTGCGTCTCCCCCACCCAGCTCGCTCCGGGCCGGCCGCAGCCTCGGGAGGGTGGGTGCTCTGCCCGTCTCACCCCAGCCGGGCGCTGCCCACCCGCCCGGCAGGGAAACGCACCTGGAGCCCGGAGGCTCGCCCACCGGGGTCTCGCCTGTTCGCCGAGTTAACCTGGCCGGGTCCGCGAGGCCAGGCCCCCGTTACCGTCACTATTAGTGAGAAGTTGGTGGGGAGACTTGCAAAGCGACCGTTCGTCCCAGAGGAAAGAAACCTCGTATCTTACTGGGTGACAGGTAGACGCCCCCCAAGGAGAAATGGCTCAGGTGAGACCCCAGCT